GTTTTTTATGCCCAATTTACCGCAGTTTTTGGATTTTCTGCAGTAGTACGAGTACCCCCAAGCCAACGAAAAGGATCGATACACCACACACGTGTGATACACAGTATATTTATTGTGTAATAAACCAACATAATAATGTTCAACATGTAAACATTTATAATATGTACATTTATTGCGTATAACATTAGCAAGTCTTCGTAGAACAATGATAACAAGGGTTTCCACAACAAAGTCATATCAACAAAATCTTCAAGGACGACAATATGTACAAAAAAAATGGGACAAACGACAAAACGAAAGCGGTTACATATGGAAAGCCTGTCCCGCTGCCGCAGTCGCCAAGTTCGCAAGCATATGGAGGACGAAGCTTGAGCAGTCCTGCTGTGTAACCATCCCGATGCTTTCCACAATGACCGTTCTCAGCGTCTGCTCTGTCGTCGGGTTGCTCAGCAAGCGCTTCGCAGACGCTTTTACCTTCGAAAATACGTTTTCGGCCGGGTTCAGCATATAGGAATAAGGCGATAAGAACTTTAGCTGGTACGAAGTGTCAGCTAATATTCTTCGTAGTTCTTCCGTTTTATGAATTTTCGCATTGTCCATGATAAGCCATGAACCAGCCATCTCTTCACTTTCGCGCAGAATGGCCACAAGCTCCTCGATGAATGTGCAAAACTTGTGAGCGTTGCAGGTTCCGTCATCTATAATCTTTCTGTGCACTACTCCTTGATCATTCATCGCCAAGATCAGCGTCACCATACGGCCTTTTACTGTTGGAACGACAACGTTGGCTCGCATTCCCTTCCTTGATCGAGCTTGCGTCCTTCGTAAATGGAGGTTAAATCCGCTTTCGTCGATAAAGATGCATTTTTTCCTGTCCGTTGGTGCATGTGCTGTGAAGTCCAGCGCATAAGCCTGCCTGCTTTCAATCGTTGCGATGCTGTTGACTCGGTCGAGTTCATGATGACACCTCTTCAGGGTGATTTTCAGTTTCACTAGGGCATTGAAAATTGTTGATACGGCCAATTCTATGTTGCTTTCTTTCAATCGCAACTGTATCTGCTGCAGAGTATCTTCGGGATGTTGCTCAACTAGCTCCTCAATGAGCTGCAAGACGCCAGCTACAAGCTTCACCCTGTTGCCTCCGCAGCAGCGTTCCATGGTTGCACCTTCACGTCTGTGAGCAACGATGATGTTCCTTGCTGTGCTTTCGTTAATACCAGCAACTCGAGCAGCTTCGCGAATCGTCATGCCGTCAGTATGTACAAGCTTCAGCAGGATTTGCTTCTGCGCCAAAGTAGTTCTCTTGTAGCGTCGCGGTGCCATTGAAGCTCGGTGTTTCTTCAAGCTGATTGCAGTGTGCACTGGTGATGAACGAAGTCCACTCTTGGCTGGTGCCGTCGGATAGTGGCCTTTGACGTTGGATGTTCAAAGGGACTTGATGTTCAAAGGACAATGGATGTGTACAAATTGATTCCAAATTGTCTACTTCGGTTTGAAGGACATCCCTTTTAGAATAGAACTGGCATACGCCCTGCTACTTTTGATGAATTTTTGCAGAGCATTGACTCCTTCTTGGGTTTTCCTTTCTTTGAAGCTGTAGCATGGACCTTCAACCACCCTGAAATGCTCCGCCTTCTTCGCAGAACCCCGCCCACTTCTGAAAAATGAACAAACTTGCCGGGTTGGTGTCCGAATGGCCAGTTCACGGTCTCGCTGGTTTCTCGGAACGAATTTCCCCTTATTTTTCGTTCCGGGTGATGGGGGAGACCATAAATTGGCAGGACGGGCTCTGATCTGCCGATCTGGGCCATTTTTGAAAAGTGGGCGGAGCTTCCGCGAAGTGGGCGGGGCTTCCTGTTGTGGGCGGGGCTACCTGCTACACTCTGAAAAAGTGATTATTTCGAAGAAAAAGTCAAAATTCCACGAAAGGAAAGTGGGCGTGGTCAGAAAGTGGGCGGAGCTTAGTGTAGCAGTGTACAGATGCGTATCTACATGTACATCCGTTCTGTGAAAAATGTTTATGAAAAGAATGAGGTAAAAAAAGTTACGAAAATCCAAGACCTGCCATTCCTTCATCAAAAAGTGGGCGGAGTCGGCTCGTACCGGTACCAACACTTTCAGCTGGAGTGTATACGAAAAAGCAAAAGTTTTAAAAAAGTCGGATGAATAGAGTTCATGAAATGAATTTTGGAAGACAATGACTGCGCTGAGAAGTGGGCGGGGTGTTGGGGGCGGGGCTTGCGGCAGTACCTAATAAGGCCTAGTTGTGAACGGACCATTGCTAGGGGTGTGTCCGATTTGATTTGAAAAGTGTCCGATTTGGTTTGAAAAGTGTCCGATTTGGTTTGAAAAGTGTCCGATTTGATTTGAAAAGTGTCCGATTTGGTTTGAAAAGTGTCCGATTTGGGTGTCCGATTTAAAGTGAAAATGGTATATATCTCTTGCGCATACCAGCATGCTCCGCCTGCATAAAAGGAGCCTTGGTGAGCTGAGCTTCATAGTTTAATTCCTTTTTATTTTTGGTACTTCCAGATAAACGTTCTAATTACCCAAGTTTGAGGTTTGAATCACCGACGACATATGGTGCATCGGACCTGAGCGACCCAGGACAAGTCAAGGATCGATCAAGGAGCAGAAGTCCAAGGATCGATCGAGGAACGAACCACCAAAGGATCGGACAAGGAGTAAGCTGCCAGCGTACCGATCGAAGGATAGGACGCCAGGATTTCAAGCGAAGGAGTGAGTGTACATTCCCGCTTCGCATAAGGTCCTGTCTGCGCATGCACAACGTCCTTTGTCTGCACCACAGAGCGATTGCATCACTGAATCATTGATGATCTGACTGAGTAGCGGCAAGCTCTCCAGACATTTCTCAGTTGAAACTGGCACCAATCCCAATTCCCAAGTTCAGCGGACGGGCCTGGGAGTGGGATACGTTTTGGACGGCCTTCGAACATTCAGTGGATTCTCGAGAGATGGACGACATCTACAAAATGAATTATCTACTCGACGCGCTTCAGGGCGAGGCTAAGGACACCATAAAGCAGTACGAGGTATCCGGAAGGACGTACCCACTTGTTGTCGCTCGACTAAAGGAAAAGTACGGAAACACAAGGACGCTTGTAGATCAACTGATACGTCGGCTTCAAGGTGTACGAGCCCACAGCAATCGTTGGGAACATCAGGAAAAACTTTGGGAAGAGTTGTCGTCAATCGTAGCCCAACTCCAGCTCAAGGGAGAGAATGTCGACAACAGCTTCCTCCAAAACCAGCTGCTTGGGAAATTCGTCATTCGGATCCAACCAACCGTTGAAACAAACATGCGGAATAACTCAACTGCAGATGTGGGATAAATCCGGAAGCTCTCACACTATAGAAGTCACCAAGATCAACACAGTCACGGAGCCCATGGCGGGACAAAGGCTCAGCCTGGAAGACAAACAGTTCCTGTTTGATAGACACATTCAGCTCTCTATAACTTCCCAGGTTACGGAAATCAGACCACAAGTCCTACTCGGATGTGCCGACCTATATGCATTCCTTGATGGAGGATTCGCGGCAAAGATAACCCTTCCATCAGGCCTGACTCTCATTCCCTCTAAACTCGGATATCTTGTGTCAGGATGCGCCACCAAGAGCTGAGCAGGTTGAAGAAATGCCGAGTCAACCAGTCATAAACAGTATTTCGTCAGAATTTCCATGAAGGAGTGCAATCCTGGGAAGACTTCTGCACATTTGAGGCAACGGGAGTTCATGAGT